GCGCGGCGGCTTCTTCAACCTCCGGGTCTGCTATGGCAGACTTCTTCTCCGATGGCTACTTCGGCTATGGCGCACAGCTCTCCCTGCGGCACACGACGGCGCGCGTGGAATAGCGGGTACCAGCTCCGATACCAATGCAATCAGACTCGCTCTCATCCACACTTCACATGCATGCAAACAGGTTGCGCAGCAACTGGCGACAAGAGCCCACACAGAACTCAGAGATATCGTAACCAGGATCGCAGTTCAGATACAAGTTCACTTAAAATAGCTATGGCGGCACAGCGCCTGTACAACTCTCTGTTCACACACACGCAGGATCACCCTGGATACCCCACACGCATACTCTGGACCCTCACACACTCACACACTGAACTCTATCTACAGCTATGGCAGCTATGGCCGCTGCTAACCTATCGCTATGGCTAAGCTCCTTCTCTCTTGCCCACTTCATCCTCGGGCTCACTGCAGACCACCTCGCACAAGTCGCTGTGACAGCGCTTCCGCATGGCTCACGCAGGAATGAATGAATAGCTGGGCGCTGCCTCTTGATTTGTACTTCTGTATCTCGTTGGTCTGCCCCTTTCCCATGCCCGTGGTGCACACAGTCCCATGCGGTACTTGCTTGACTGGACTAGGACTGACTGGGACTGTACCCGACAGGTCTACAGATCGAACCCCTACTACCTACGGACCCTACGACAGTCTACCAACTGTTACAAATACACAGGTCACGGGTTCAACTCTAGGGGTCGACACGGATACTGTACACAGGTAAGGTAAGGACTGGGGATCCAGCCCTGAGATCTGCATCGGCTACTGCGGACAGGTGAATACCGTTTCACTTTTCTTCCCTTGTTACCTCCTCTTCATTGCTGTCCCTTCCCCTTCTTTCATTGTAGCTCTCTTTCCTTCTCCCAACTAAGTGAAGCCACGCCTGTAGGTGCGACATTCTGTAGCACAAGAGAGCTTCTCTCCTTGTCCACATTTCCCACCAGAATCATCAAGCTTGGAAAGGAAAAAAACAGCCTCCTGATCCGTGACAGCCAAAGCTCGTACTAATGTGATCTCAATGATCGACATATTTCCTTTTCGATGCTGCTCGACCCGTTGTCGGTTCTTCAGACACCGTTTGATCATTCTTTGTTTATTAGAAGGTAAGGGATAGGCACTGTTATATGTAGATCCAGCGCCTCCAAAGCATACACGACTTCATTTTGTCCGTCCTCATATTCTGGCCCCGGCACAGTTGACTCTTAGAACCCAGTTTCCAAGAACCTAAGTTGCTCTCTTCAGTAATCCGTTGGATATGCAGATGACTCCCATGGTCTTGGCTTCCATCATGCCACAAGTCATGTATATCTCCGGACATATCTGAGAAGCTGTCGGGGGCAACAGGTTGGTGGACCCAGTTCCCATTAGGATGCCTACTCGACCTCGATTGCCGCTGCTAAGGGAAGTTGGGCCGTACCGGTATTACCCATTTGAGGCGCCATATATACTGCACAGTCCATGTATAGGTGGCCCGTCTCTTTGCAGTTATAGCTCCGTGGAGGTTGCATCTGGGTCCTTGCGGGTGCAACTCGTGGAGTGCTCGTAGAAGCTTGTGGGGCGCTAGTCCCCTGCTGCCTGTGCAAAGCCATAGCTGCCCTTTGCTTAACCCATTTCTGGATCATCTCCGACTGCTCCTTGATTGCAGACACTAGTTGGTCAGTCACATCCTTCAGCCCATGACGATAGAAACCGACAGCTTGTAGAAGAAGAAATCCGACTGCTCCCAGGTACCTCAATACCAATTGTCGCCACGAACACGAGTTACCCAATTTGCACCATCTAAAGTTAAACCGGGGCAAACCAGGGAAAATGCAGTCAGATCAGACTCATCAGAGTACAGAAAGTTAAGTTGGGGCGAGTCAGTGCAGTCTACCAGCAGGAACCCGCCCTCACCAAAGTGACAAGCTTTGGATCAGTTTTAAAAGGGAGCCCGGTCGGTTCAGAATAGTGACCTTTGCATATCGAAGTCATGGTAGACAATCTAGGTCTACGACAGGGAACTTAGGAAGGCCGCTATGACAGATCGAGGCGACTTTCGAACATGGCCAGTTGCCCGTGTTGAGACTTACGGTCGAAAACACCGAATCCATGAATCCATGCGATGCCACCCAACAGGCCCAACTTAGTATCAAACACATGCCAAGTTATTGAGCATGAACCAAGCTTGCAAGACGATGAAAGACCCATAGAGAACTTGAGTAGAATTTGTGACAAGGAAAATATAAAGTTTCCTAAGTTCTAACATACACTCAATCTAACATACGCTCATTGTCACCCATACATGCATAAATGGTTGTGCATCAGACACATTTATGCCACCATTGGGGCTCACTCAAGAGGAACAGTGTAATGTGAACCCCATTCATTTGGACATTCACATTCAAACCAACCATGACTGCCTTCTGAAACGGAACGGTTTTCACCTTTTTGCAGTCACAGATGCAAGCCTAGAGTTCGATCCCCAGACCTTACCTTACCCATGTACAGTATCGAGTTGACCCCTGAGTGTTTGAACCCGCGACCTGTGTTTTGGTAGTTGGTTGTTGTCTGTCGAAGGTCTGTGTAGTTGTAGGGGTTCGATCTGTAGGTCTGTCGAGTAGGGGTCATAGCTGTGTAGAGGTCGTAGCTGTAGCGTTTCTGAAAGGTCAAGGTCGTAGCTGCTACAGTCCTGAAAGGTCAACGTCGTAGCTGCTACAGTCCTGAAAGGCCAAGTCCGCAAACTTCTGGAAGGTCTGGAAGTGGCCTTTCAAGTTTCTTTTCGCGTTTTACACAGCAGGCCAGAGGCAAGTGGGCAAGTGGTGAGTCCAACTTCGCTTAGTCAGTGGTACCCAGTCCCAGTCTCACTTTGCACCGTCAGCAAGTACCATGAGGGACTGTGTGCACCTTGGGCCCGGTGGAAAAGGGCAGACCAACGACTTACAGAAGTATAAATCAAGAGGCAGCGCCCAGCCATTATTCATTAGCTGCGTAAGCCATGCGGAAGCGCTGCTACAGCATCTTGTGCGAAGGTGGTCTGCAGGTTCCCCGAAGACGAAGTGGGCTGTAGAAGATAGAGTGAGCCTAGGCAGTGTTAGCTGGCAGCCATAGTCGCCGAGTTAGTGTTAGTAATTAGTGTGTGTGTGTGTATGAGTGTGAGACCGTGTGTGGTGGTATTCAGGGTGATCCAGAGTTGAGTATGTGCGAACGGTGGTATTGGACACAGTGACGAGAGTTGGTGTGCGGCGCCGATGCGCCATAGCTCGTTGAAGCGATCTTGCATCTGAACTGTGTTCTCGTTTTCCATATCTCTGAGCTTTGAGTGGGCGCGATGCGCCAGTGTGAATCGCCATCTGTTTGCATGTATGCGAAGTGGAAAAGAAAGCGAGTCTGATTGCATTGGTATCAAAGCTGGTTCCCGTTACCCCACGCGCCATCGTCGTTGCCAGCGGGGAAGGAGATTGGCGTCAGTCAGGCGCCATAGCCGAGGTGCGAAGGAGGAAAAATCCACCATAGCTGCACTGCGGAGTGAGGTGCCGCGTACCTGCAAAAAAGACAACGATGAAGAGGAGAGAGAGAGAGAGAGAGAGAGAGAGAGAGAGAGAGAGAGAGAGAGAGAGAGAGAGAGAGAGAGAGAGA